GATGATCAAACAATCCTGTATTTAACACAGCAGAATGGCTCTAGTTGTCTCTCAAAAGGAGTGGTGGAGTGGTTACCCCAAAGGGGCTGCTAACCACCAGCTGCCCAGAGGGAGCAAGGGGAGGCTTTCTACTCCTTTTATGTAAAGAGTTACAGTCTTGGAAACCCACAGGGGCAGTTCTACTCTTGGAGTTTGGTTTTTGGTTTGGAGACCATCTGAAGGGTAGCGGCTCTCACTCATACTGCAGCACCCAAGCGAAAGCCTTGCTGATCTGTCTGCGTCTGTAACGATGACCACCAAGAGGGCCCTATGGAGCTCATTTGTGTTTGGGGTGGTGATGAGTCATGGTTGACTTAAGGACCATTGCTTGAGTTTTTTACTTTTTACCTATGATTTTTAAGATGGCAAGTTCTGAAAATGGAGGCCAAGGAAGCACATCAGTTCTGATGATGCCCGAATCTTCCTAATCTAGGCAGAAGCTTTCTTGCAAGAAGAATTGGGTGTAATTTCAGGTACACTCTTTGACTGTCTCCTGAGATTCGGAATTCATCTCATTCTGGTGGCAACTCAACGGGGCCGTGCCTTGAATAAAGAGGGCCTGGACATCATGATCTCTGCTTGAGATGAGCCTTTGGTATTTGATCATGAGGGCTTAGGCTGTTATCATAATGAAGTACATGATTCGTGATTATTTTCAAAGGTACTGTGACCCTGCATGTCCGTAGTTTGAAATGGACAGAAGTCACTGTAGTAAGTTTTTGCTAGTGGCTCCATTGTAGTTTCACAGATGATCTTTCATTATACAAGTTGTTTGTATCTCTGGAACCTTTTTGGTTACAAGTGGCAGACGCTAAGCTCCCATTTGCCACGGGCTCAATACATGGAATGTTTGGGGCCACAATCCCAGCAACCCCGGGGTGGGGGGTGGATCTGGGGGGGCGTGACATTGCTACATCTGTGTCTGCCCATTACTTAGCTTCGACAGTTCTTTGTGGTCATGTTCACAGACCGCCTTCGGTGGATCAGAAGTCAGCAGCAACTCGGAGCATGTATTACCCTGGTGTCCTATCCCAGATCTCAGTCTTCCAGAAGGATCTGCTTAGTCAATCTTGGATTTCCCGTGAATCAGACCCTTTGGCCAGGGACGTATGACATGACGTACTCTGATGGTCATTCTGGGGTCATGTTCTTGAGATGGGAAAATGACAGCCACGTCCAGTACCACACAGGAATGCGCCCTGCCCCAAAGAAGGGGCTGGGAGCAAGGCTGTCATCAGATAGGGTCACAAGTCTTCTTCTTCTGCCCCTGAAGGGATGCAAGGACATCTCCGAGCAGTTGAAAATGTTACTTGGCCATGAGAAGGTGTATTAGGGCGGTCAGTCTGTCATCAGACAATTCGTGCTTTATTTCCCTCTTTTACGTCACCATCTCACCGTGGACTAAAAGCAAAAGTATAAAAGAGGAATTTTGGGGGGGAAATTCCCTTTCCTCCCCCATTTCACCTTCCAGGAGCCCTAGGGGGGTAGTGGTGACTACATAGCGGCTGCTATAACCCCAGAGACAGCAGTTGGAAACCACCAACCACGCCGAGGAAGAAAGATGAGGCTTTCTACTGCCCTAAAGAGTTTCATTCTCCAAACCCACAGGGAGCGTTTGACCCTGTCCTATAGGGTCGCCATGAGGCACCATGGACTTGATGGCAGTGAGCTTTTAGTATTTCACCCTCCAGTAGGGCTCTGCTCCAGAATTTACCATGCAGATTTGCCTTCCGTTTCCACCGGCTGTGAGAAGCCATTCCAAGTAGCCATTCCCATCTCCTGTTTGGGTCCAGCTGTGCCTGCCCGCCCCAGCGTCTGATTGGACATCCAGCACTCAGCAGATGTGAGCGGAATCAATTAGTAGCAAGGAGCTGCATCCCTGGGCTTGGCTGGCTGGAGAGGGCGGGGCTCTGAGGCATGAAGTAGCTGAGACTTCCAGACTCATTGTGTTGAAGTTAGCAATTGAACTTCATTATCTTCACAATCCCAGTGGAGGCTCTCCCCCCTACCCCCAGCCCCTTAGCCTGCTTATGTCTTTTCCTTGCTGGGGTGCCAAGGAGAATCGTGGGGGAGGGACTGTGCCTGTCTGCAAGGGTTCCAGTTTGGCTACCCATCTCGTGACTCAACTGATTGTTACAACAAGTGCTCCGACAATAAGGAAAGCGAGGCAGCAAGGCACATAATGTAGGGTGTCAGTTTCTGAGGAAACCCAGGTGGTGTGAGTCTCCCACCCTTGGGTGCGTGTGAGTAAGGCTGCTTTGAGTGATCACTGCCCTTGAATCGCAAGTCTATTCTGACCCGAAGCTGTAACTCTTTACAGGAGTAGAAAGCCTTGTCTTTCTCTGCAGAGTGGCTGGGAGTTTTGAACTGTTGACCTTGCAGTTAGCAACGCAATATGTAACCTCTATGCTAACAGGGCGCCATGTGATTCTAGTGCTGGCTACTAGAATTTAGTAGCCAGCACTAAATGTGGCAAAGGTCAGCCTAAACTTTTACATGGTTCATTTCATGCTATGTGGGTTTTGCCTCAATTAAAAAACAACAACAACAACCAGGAAAAAAGTGAATCTGGTGCTACTAGATTTGATATTCAGCAATCCCATTGCCTTGAAGTTAATTCGGACTCGTTGCAACCCCATCGAACAATGTGGGGTTTGAAGGCCACTGTCTTTACGGAGTAGGCTGCCTCATCTTTCTCCTGTTGTGGAGCTGGGGGGTGGGGGTGGTGGTGAGTTGAACCGTTGTCAGTGTGTGCAACCACTGTGCCAAGAGGGATCCTGATAGTCACTGATGTAGCATGTGCAATGCCGAAGGATTGGCAGGATGTTTAGTTTCTTCATTTGCTTTCCAGCACTTTCAGACCATGCTGAAGTCTAAACTGAATGTTCTTACCCTGAAGAAGGAGTCTCTCCCAGCAGTCATCTTTCACGAACCGGAGGCCATTGAGTTGTGCACCACTACGCCACTGATGAAGACTCGGACCCACAGTGGCTGCAAGGTATGTGCGTGGCTTATGGCCAGTCGAGGCTGCCCCGATGGGACGCTCGTTTCACCATCCTTCCTTGTTGCTTTGCTTTGGTGAGGATATGCATAGCGAAATACCGTTGCAACAATCCCCAGATGTACCATAAAGTGACGCTGATCACCTTCTTCAAGTGGTGCCAGCATTCTCACCATCCTTCTCCACATGAAGGTTCCTGGTACGACAAAATATACAAGGAGGTGCAAGAGAAGAACTCAGAAACGATGCCAGGCCAGTTGATTAGGATATCCCTGAAAACTTGAACCCTAAAAACTGCCTTCTTTGCTGTGGGACCAGAAGACCTAGATGGTGCCCAACTGCCGATTTTGATCCTATTGATTCTAACACTATCGACTGAGGTTCACAGCCCCCTAAGCTTCTCCTCTAACCTTTTGAGTCGTTTTCAGATTGACACAACGCCGAATTTGTTAAAAGAGCGCAAGGCTCAGGGCAGATAGAGTTTACTTACTAGGAAACACAGTATTTCAATGCAGACTTTAGGGAGCAGTCTTTGTTTAAGGTTTGTAGTTTAAAGATCATCTCAGAGTCAGAGTTCCAAGGGGCTTCCGGCGGTTTGTCCAGCCTTAATGGCTCCAGGAAGTCTAGATTTCATTGAGAATTTGGAATTCTGTTCCACAGTTGTCCCTCTTTTGATTAGGTTCTTCATCAGAATCTTTGATCCAAGTGATCATTCATGGTAATTGGACACCATCTAGTTTTTCTGGTCTCATATTTAGCAAAGATGGCAGTTTTTAGGGTTCAGGTTTTGAAGGACACCCTAATGAACTGGCCTGATATTGTTTCTCGGACTTCTGTTGCGCCTTCTAGTTAATTTTATAGAGCCAGGACTTAAGTGCTAAGAAACACAAGGAACAACAATGGTAATTCTCCCCTCACCTGAAGCAGCAAAGTGAGGATAGTTAGAAATTGAAGGAGGAAATGGATTGAGACTCTGATTACCTTTGCCATGGAATCAGAAGAGTTGGATGGTGCCCAGCTTTTCAATATGGTAACTTTTAGAAAAACTATCAAATGACTTACAAAATAAATTCTTTGAGTGGTGAGAGTATGAATTTTACTTTTTTTCCTTCGTGATATAGCAACCTTCATCACTTTGGAGTACGTATTAGATACATGGATTTTAGCATGTATCAGTAAAATGGTACTCTGTCTGTAGCTCTATGAAACTTGGGGCTTCATAGCGATGGTTTTGTCCTTAGTGATAACTTTTCTCAGTTTGTATTCCAAATCTGAATAAAATTTTGCACTTTTGTTTGCTTCAACTTTCAGAGTTTATACTGATATTCTTGCCTCTGAATGTATAAACATTATTTTACCCCCATTTATGTTAACTGTATTGCAGGCATGAAAGTAAAAGTATAAATATATCATTTTGGTCAGTTTTTAAGGTCTGTCTTCCATGATATCATTTTTCACTTGAGCTAGTGGATATGATAATCGGCTTAGAGATAACAAAGAAAATATCTTTTATGCCTGCTTTGTCATCCAAAATTTGCTTCCAGTGAAAATAAAGGGCAAGAAAATTTAGAAAATATATGTTGCTACATGGGTTTCCATTATAACCTTGTGGATATGCTCCTTTCTTTATTGCTTCATTGTTTTCTGGGGTAGGGGAGCAAAGATCAATCAGCTTTTATTGACAACATATCCCACCCCCTTGTGGTTGTAGTTTTTGAGGAACCCTGCTGGTGTAGTTACTAAATCCATGTCCAGTTCTCTTCTGGTTGAGGAATGTGGTCCACTAGGAGCAAGTATAAGGAGAGTCTAGCTTGCTAAAGTCTGCATAATACATTTAAAATTAGGAGTTTTGGGGAAAAAAGTCCTAGGATTCTAATACAGATATGGAAGAAAGACATTACATACAAACATATACCGACTATCTATTGTGTGCAGTCCCTGCAGCTCATGGTATTCTAATGTGTAGCAATTATAAAATGTTGCTTGGTTTTGTTCCATCCTTATGACCATTAGTATATTTGAATATATGCATAGATGTAGATACTGATAAATGCATAGGTACAGATATAGAGATATACAGACATACATACATTATGGGGGTTCAGTTCCAGACAACTACATAAAGCAATATTGCAATAATCTGACTCACAATATCTTATGTTTGATTTCCACATGCCTATAAAAGTGGTGGTGACATTATACTGTAGTCTGTTCAGTACACAGCAGCGTTATGAAGAAGTTTGAAACGTTGAGCCCCTGCTAAAATGGGACACAGAGACACGTAGAGAATCCCTGCTGTTGGAAAAATGGCGCCCAGAGATTCGCTGGATGCAGGGTTGCCACAAATCTCCAATTTGCTAAAAAACAACAAAACAAGAAACTCAAAGCAGTATTTCTGAAGCACTGTCAAACATAGTGTGCCTGTATGTACATACATCAATGCGTGCGCGCGCGCGCACACACACACACACACACACACACACCCTGTTTTGGTAGTATTTGCTAGGAGAATAAGCGCCCGTTATTGTTTCTGAAATGGAGTATGGTTTCAAGATCCATAGTGTTTGTTGCTGTTGTTGTTATTGTTGATAATGTTTTATTGTCTTGGGTTTGGTTCATGTATTTATCTTCTAAGAGGATATTGAAAAAGTACAAACATATTTTTTAAAGCATTCAGAAGCCCATGCCAAGGCAGGTCAGGATGGGCAGCCAATGAGCAAAAATCACTCATGATTTCTGTTGAACAGAACGAAGAACAGTGTTCAGGGTAAAAAACCACATGCCATTGGGCTGTCAAACCTTTGGGCACCCCATCCCTAGAAGTCTGGTTGCGGTGTTTCAGGCATAGACCCTCTTAGTCTCAGAGTCAGAGCCCCAGGCTAAGGCCTCCGGAGAAGAGGCAGGCTGGCTCATCGGTCCCACGCATCTATTTTCACATCGCACACTATCAAGTTGATTCATTTAAACTTTAACCATAAATGGCGTGGGGTCACAGCCTTTCCTTCTCAAGGACAGTGTCCTGTTTGTGTTCAGAGTCCTCTTCTCTTGTTCCAGAGCAACCACCACACACACACACACACACACACACACACCTTGACTTTTGGAACCTGGACATTTCTATTTCAAATCCCCAGGCCTCTCCCCAAATTCTTTCTGATCACCCGCAAGGGCAAAGCCCAGTGTTTTAGCTGGGATTTTTGCTGGAAACTTGTGCACCAAGTGCCAGCGGTAGAAGGAACTGTCACCGGGATGTGCACCTGCCAGGAATAATGAGTGTCACGTAGCCGGGCCCAGCTGCAGGCCCCTTGCGTTTACACACCGCCACCTCTTTTTTTCCCCAACAGTGCTGGCCGATCTTGGGGTTTCTGGAAGGAGAGAGGCAGGAGGAAGCAGAGGAAAGGGGTTGTAGTTAGCCCTGGGAAACCCTCGCTCGCCCTCCTCTTCCCATTTCCCCGCTGATCTGTATTCTCCCCGAGTACTGGCTGGATGGCCAGGTCAGGCTACTCATGCAGCAGGCAGCTTGGTCTTTGTGTGTGTTCTCCTCCGCGGCTGCAGCTCGTTTCTGGAGCGGAGCTGTTTAACTGTACAACCTGCTGCAGACCATTAGGAGGGCCCAGCCAGCATTCACACGGGGCTGCTCTGCATCTTGGTTGTGGCAGCAACAAGGGCTTGTTCTTGACCACATTCCCTACCTGTCTTTCCCTGCCTGGTGGTGGCTGCTCTTGACTCGGTCCCTGGCTCATCCTCCATGAGCAGCAAAAAGATACTCCTCCAGAGTTGCAGAGCAGAACACTCCGATCCTTCAGGTTTGCCTGGCTGCTTTTTGAAGGTAGATTGTCAAGCCTTTCTTCCTCTTCTGCGAAGCAAACGAGCTAACGAGACAGAAAGACCAGCGAGCAATCTCAAACAAACACCAGTTCGTCAGTTGCCGTTATTTCAACTCGTGGGGACCCTATGTGCCGACCCCAGGAGCGGTGGTGAAGAGTTGCATTCCATGGGATTTACGGTTCTGAGATTTCGCAAAGCTGGTCCTGTGCCACCCTCTCAATTGCTCTTATGTTTGAGCCCCGGGTGCAGCCACTGTGTGGCCATCCATCTGTGGAAGGCCTTCCTCTTTGTTGCTGCCCCTCTCCTCAACTGAGCGTGCTGGCCTTCTTCAGGGACATTATGTTTGCAAAAGTAGAAGGAAGCAAACACGTCCAAAGCATGTAAGTTGAAGCTTACTCTCTTGCCTCTCAGAAGCATTCTGGCTGCACTTCACATAGACAGGTCGGGTTTGCCTTTCGGCGGTCCATGGTACTTTTCAATAGTCTTCACCAGCACCATCAGTCAAATGCCTCGATTCTCCGATGGTCTTCCTTCTTCAGTGTCCAACTTCCCACATACATGGGAGGCAACTGAAAATCCCCTGACTTGAGTCAGGTGTTCCTCAGTCCTCAGAGTGACCGCCTTGCTTTTCAACACTTTAAGGAGGTCCTGTCTGCAGCAGATTCACTCAATCCAGTGTGTCATTTGACCTGTTGACTTCAGGACACTCCGATCCACTGAAACATCTTAGTGGGTTCAAACCACCAACCACTGGGTTAATAGCCCAGCGCTTAACTTTCTGTGCCGTCTAGGGACTCCTTCGGGTATCATGGAACCCTAGGTAGTTTCGCTTGCTGGCAAGCCTTTAGACTCCTAGTGACCCTATAGAACAGAAAAGAACTGCCCCTGTGGGTTTCCGAGGCTAAAATTTACTACAGGAGCAGAAAGTCTCATCTTTCTTCTGTTCTGGATTTGAACTGCTGACCTTGTGGTTAGCAGTTCAACACATAACCCACTACACCACCAAGACTCTGTCAGTCAGATTGACTCTATGGTTGTGAGTTTGGTTTTAGTGCCTAGTAAGCCTTTATTTACCTCCTAAGAGGGGGCTTCCAGAAAAATTCCATCTTCTTTTAATCCCATCCCCCCCAACACACACACACACTTCTTTATTGAGCATCCAGCATGAC